GGGCTGCCCGGCAAACCGTGAAGCCGGTAGCGCTCGGGCAGCCCTTTTCGCGTGGCTGGGAGGGAGGAGGGGGAATGCGGGGCGCTCAGGGGAGGGGGAGGAGTTAGGGCGGGGACTTTGGGGAAGGGGCGGAGTTGGGGCGGGGCTGGCGGTGGGAAAGGGGCGGGGCCAGGGCCCCGTGGAGTGTCCTCTTTTTTTATTTTTTAAATATGGTAACCCTACGAAACCAGCTTTGATGGATCAATCCTCAAATCATTCTAAATTTATGGTTTCATAAGAAAAATTGATTTCACCTCACTACCAGTTCATCATCTCAAGTACGCTGACCAGATGTCCTGATTTTATAGGGACAGACCCGATTTTGGGGTCTTTTTCTTACATAGGCTCCTATTACCCCCCATCTCCCTGTCCCAATTTTTCACATTTCCTGTCTGGTCACCATAATCTCAAGCAGCATGACACACACAGATGTGATCCATATATCAAATCGACCATCTAACCAAAACATCAGTAAATAGAAGATTCACTGATATTTACAATAATTTTTCCATGCACATTGAACAAGTACTATTTTCAATCTAAAACTAACTAGTTTTAGATAAAAAAGGAACAATGAGTACAGCCTCCATGAAAGAATAAAATGTGTGCCTATTCTATAATCAGCTGCAGCAAACTGGGAGAGTTCTTCGAAATTTAAAGATGCAATATATAGGAAAAAACCCTCACTTTTATAGCTACACACACAGCATTTTACAAAATCTAGTAAAAAACAGAGAAGTTCCAACCCCTGACAAAGTTGAAACCTGTTTAAGCACTGAAAACATATTGATAGTCCAATGTTGGATGTCAACACATCCACTCTTTCAACTATTACTCACGTGACTACCAGTGGCCCCAATTCCCAGTCCAAATGCCACCTTATTACTGATGCCAAGTGCTGTAAAGCCAGTTTAACCAGCTACGTGGGGATTTCCCAGCTGAGGGGGATTTCCCAGGTGGCATAGAACCAATGCAGTGGTTCCCAAGCACTACTCTCAGAGCAGGGAGGCATAGCTAGGGGAAAGGTAGCATGGTAGAAGCACAGCTACACTCTGGCCATTTCCAGGAGAAAAAACAGCTCTTGGGGGCCATAGGCAAACATGCGTAAGTTACAGACAGTTCTCGGGTTTTGAGAGGATTTGGGAACTTTGGCTGAAGTACAGCACCTCTGAAAAATCAGGCCCTCAGCATCTCAAATTGGGCATCTAAAATTAATGATCACTGTAGTGAGCCGGTGTGGCTGCCCGCCACCCCGGAGGGGGAAGAGCCCATCCGGAGGCCGGAGTGGGCAGAGCTAGGGAGCTCAGAGTCCGCACCCCAGAAGTATAAAGGCTCGCCCTCAGAGCTCAGTAAGGCCCCAGCCGCTAGAGAGACCAGACGTCTCCAGCCTAGCTCGTAGCTGGGAAAACTCCGCGGCCCAGGGCCAGAGGCGTAGTGAGCGCCCTCCGTACCCTCTGACCAGAGGGGGCCCCGCAAGGAAGGGGGCCCCTAAAAGTGGCAAAATAAATACCGCATTCCAGTTTCTGCATTGTAAGGGGCCCCGCCCGGACATATGTTCGGAGGGGGCCACCGTTCGGAGGGGGCCACGTTCTTTGTTGCTACGGCCCTGCCCAGGGCAGCCACCTGCGCCCGCTATCCGGAGGAGCCGCCGGGCCTGCCCGGCGCCCGCTATCCGGAGGAGCCCATGGTCCTGGATCCCCCAGAGGCCGACATCAGGACCCAGGTAGGCCCCGAGGGGGAGTGTGGAAGTAGCCCGGGGGCAGCCGACCCCAATCTGGCTGCAGCACTGCCAGAGCCTATGTCAGTGTGTTGCGGCCAGGATCCCCACTGACAGCAGCGGTAGGGTTACCATATTTCAACACTGAAAAAAGAGGACACCCCACAGGGGCCC